TGAGAATTGTTTTTTAATCAAATATGTTTTTTAAATAAATTAGATGAAGTTTATTTCTTACGTCTTTGTACTAAAGACTAAGGATTTTTAGCTCAATTGCGTTATTAACTAATAGTACCTTTAACAAAATTAAAAACTTTAAAATTCAGAAAAATGTCACTCCTGCATCCATTGCCCAAATCTCTGCTCTTAATATTTGTTTTCCCCATCTTTTTTTCCTGGGTAGAGGTAGAACCTTTATAATCAAATGTAATCGGAGTTCTGAACCTGGTGGTACACATAACCAAGAGGTCATTCAGAAATCTCTCACTTCAATGCCAACATTATTCCTGTAAGTTAGCAGAACAGATAATGAAGTTTGTTTTTCAGTTTTACTCAGACAGTGCCATGAACAAAGGCAGCAACCTTTCAATTTACAAGTTCATCAACGTGACAGTACTATCAGCTATACTTTGCCGAGATCCTCAAGACTCTGCCAGTGAACTGGGGTCTGGGCCAGAAGTCTACCCATCCATATGCCACCACACCAGGTTATCTTTTTATATTCTGACAAAGATTTTCTAAATTATTCTTGTTCCCACTGGTAATCATCTTCAAAGATGTGTTTTTGTCTCAACTTTCAGAACAATGTTTTCTTTCCCTTATGCTGCAGAATGCCTTCAAAGGCCTCTTACTGGTATTTGCCAACAGAGAGAATACACAAATTAATTACTATTGGTCCCATTCTGTACTCCCATGGACAAGGGTAGCATGCTCTTCTCAGATTTACAGCTGGCCAAGGGGCAATGCAGAGTCCCTAGCCTAAATCCCAGTGTTACTCACAGGCTTTTGTCTCATACAGGTATGCTAAATTTAAATGTGATCATCTCCTAATCCTCACTGCCTGATTCTAATGCCACCCCAGGACTCTGCAGTAAACAGAGGCACATAAAATAATACAATCTCCATAATGCACTATGAAGAGGATTGTTTTCCTTTCTGGCCATACTAGTAGTGAACTTTATTCTTGGAGGCTCCACATCCCAGGACTCAATAGCCTTTGACTACCTCTTATACCCAAACATAAATACACACACAGAAAACACTAGACTTCCCTATCCAAGTGTATTCTGGGAGTCACAGCCCCCAAAAGAGAAACTGAGGGATGGAACAGCATCCTACCTAGAATGCAGGTACCCCATTTTCTGCCTGAAGCAGACCTTGCGATTCTGAACCAAAGGATGTCTGGGGAAAACGACACAAGGTCTTCCTTACACCTTCAGAACAGGCTCAGCACTGCTAACATCAGCCTCTGACTGCATCGCCAATGCAGATTTCTTGCAGTGTGATGAAATCTTGGCAATAAGCCAACTCTAAGACCTAGTCTGTGGTAATGTGAGGGTACAAATGTTTTACTTTTTTCCTAAGTATTCTAGTAAGTAGCTGAGGCTGCTTCTCAGATGTCTTTTAAAGTAAGAAGAAAAAAAAATAGTGGGAAGGACATTCTGACTGTAAAGAAGCATCCTGTTGCAAGGATCATTAAGTATTTTACTTCATCCTTTTCAACTCTGTGGGAATGGTAAGTGGTTGTCAGGCTCATGCATGAATCCCTCCAGTGATCTAAAACTCATCACCTGGTGAAACAATTCACTTCATTTTTACAGAGCACTAATTTTTGGAATGTTATATTTTATACCAAGGCAACATTTAACTCTGCACTTTCTATCTGAGTCCTAGTTCCTTTCTATGGAGCCTGACATTTCTTTCAAGAGGTAGACCTTTTTTTCAAGAGATATCATATCCACCTCCCAAGTTGTATTTTTCAGGATATAAAGGATATACTAGCAGAACTTTGAATAAATATATGTAAGCACACTATGCTAGCTACTCAATACACTCCAATGAATACTACCAATCACAACAATGTTCGTAATTTTGGTCAGCATCTCTATTTACAGAATAGAAAACAGAACATCCCCAAACTGCCACATGTATTCTTTTCCACAGCTCCAGTAACCCCTGATTAATGACCTCCACTTGCAAAGGAGGCTACTTACCTTAACCATGAAATAATGAATGCTATTGATCCAACAAGCTACTGCTATAGAGTGTTATTGATCACCCAATCTTTGGTTAAAATGGTCCTCATTTAGCAATTTCACTGTCACAAACACCTGGAGCAAAGCACACTCATAATTAAAGAGTTTGGGGGAGTTAAAGTGAGAGGTGATGGACAGAGATCTCAGCTTTCTCCCATTTATTCTTGCTTCTGAGCTATTGTTTGTGTCAGAAGGGATATTGATTTTCTATAAAAATAAGAAAACAAGAGGCACCAAGGGGCCGCAGAAGGTCAGCTTGGGCTGAAGAAGGAGGGGTAAGTTTAGCACTCTATCTCTGTCACTTGCCTTCCAAGAAAAGGGAATATTTTCTTTCCTGTGAGATTGGCCTCTAATACATCACCCTGGGAAGGCTTCTGAATGTGACTGCAGGCTATCACCCAACCAATTCACTTACAAAAGAAAAAGAAGCTAAATTATAGTCAAGTGAACAAACAAATGATATGTTAGTGAAGAACAAAGCAAAATTAAGTTGTAGGTACCTAATTAATAGCTGCTACACAGAAAAATTTGAATAAAGACTAGTAGGAAGTAATTTTACAAGAGTTGTCCTATTTTAAAGTATCCACAAATGTACACACACATAGAAAAAGATCTAAAATAAGTTTGTTCTGCATTAAATAAAAAGCTTTTACATCAAATCCACTTTCATTTCCTCATAACTTGTAAGAGACTGGTTGGTATAGAATTAAAAGAACAGAAAAAGAAAAGCAAAAAGAAATACTGATTAGCCAGGCGCAGGTGGCTCACACCTGTAATCCTAGCTACTCAGCAGGCAGAGAACAGGAGGATCATGGTTTGAAGTCAGCTAAGGTAAACCGTTCGCAAGACCCTAACTCAAAAATTCCCGTCACAAAAAAGGGCTGGCAGAGTGGCTCAAGATGAAGGCCCTGAGTTCAAGCCCCAGTACTGAAAAAAAAAAAAAAAACTGATTAAGCTTACAGCTACTTCATGCTTAGTGAACAGAAAGTGAACTTAAAGAAATGAGAAGCGGAAGCCAATGGTTCACACCTATAATCCTAGCCACTCAGGAGGATCATGGTTTGAAGCCAGCCCTAGGCAAATAGTTAGAGAGATCCTATCTCAAAAAAAACCATCACAAAAAAGGGCTAGTGGAGTGGCTCAAGAATTAGGACCTGAATTCAAACCCCAGTACCACCAAAGCACTTCTATCTGTACTAGGTAAAGGGGGACAAGTCAAGTGGAATTTAGGACTTCTAAATAATTAGAAGACTTTAAAGAAGAATTTTTCTCATCCCACATTTACTACCATTCCACCCATTATTCCTTCAGAGCTACAAGACTTTAGTATCCATACCCTAAGAACTCTGAAGTCACAGCCCAGGGTGATAATCCAAATGGGACAAAAAGGTCTCAACATGAAAAGAGCAGGCGTTTAGAAGAACTCCTGCCCACTTCAATTTCTTCAGGCTCTCCGAAAACTGGAACTTGTATTATTACAGCCTGACCACAAGATGGTCTGGAGTAGGAAGGAACAAAGACTAAAGCATCACACTACTAGACCACAGGTCTGCATTTGGAGCTGTATCTCAAGGAAAACAGAGGTAACAGTCTCTAAACACACACAATTATTCTGTAGTTTACCTAGAGGTTCTTGGGAAGAAACAAGCTATCATTCCAAAAGGCTACTTTTAAAATCACATTCTGAATGGTAAGAAGATTACAAGGTATATATGCTTGATATTAAAACCTGAATGCCTCAGCAGAGGCTTTCAGTATCATGAATGGCTACAGGTTGATTAAGCAATTCTTGTTTGATTAAACATAGCATGACTGGGGGGTAAATGCCTTTATAATCCAAAAAATACATATGAGGTGAGTAAATAAGCCTTAGAAAGAATCAGGCTTAAAGGGAAACTAGGAAAGCCAAATTGTGAGCCTACCAATAAAGGTGAACAGACTGGCAAATACAAAGTTAGTAAGAAAAGGTTGAAAGCTGTATTGAAAACCATTCATAAAAAGTGAAGGCATATAGACCTACACAGCTTGTCCTGGTACCGGCAAAGCCTCACCTCAGAGCACCTAAGATTGATTTATGTCCTTGTTTTTAAGATAAACTTCAGAGGAAGAAAAGTCCTAAGAAAGGTCCTATGCTCTACAGACACAGAAGGTGAGACAGAAAAAGGGTCATGGAAAAGACAAACTCAAAGGGCAGTAAAACATGGTGAAATATGAGCTTTGAAATCAGGTTTGATTCTAAGTTTTGGCACTAGGTGTCCTTAGGCAAATTATCTAAACTCTCTTAACTCAGTTTCCTTTTACAAACAGTGGAATTCTACCACACAGTGGAACTTTGGACATTAAGTAAGAATATCCATTAAGCCTGAGGAGCAGTGCCTGCCAATATTAACAATATTGGCAATTAATATTAACAATTAATATTGACCAATATTAATAATAATAAAATACAGAAATACTCCAAACCCACTTAGGTGCCACCCCTGGAGGCATCTGGTGATACAAAGAAAAAAGGTAAGAACAAGGTAGAGATGCTAACTGTCCTGCTTGTACCACAAAGAACTGTCCCAAACACCAACAGCATTCTCACTAAAAAACAGTGATCACAGGTTAACACCAATAATACTATATTATTTGTAGGACTATTTGAGATGGAGAATTAAAAATTTACCAAATTAAATTAAAAGTTAGCAAAAACCACACCAACATTTTTAAAGATGCACCCATTAGAGACAATTTCCTCTGGCTTGATCATATCTGGTGTAAGACTAATAGGACTTAACACTCCATGTGTCCAGATCACTTGAATGTCTGTCATAAAAAATGCACTCAATATAGTCAAAATAATAAGTAGCAGAGAACAGAATTAAAGCCCAAAGTTTTTAAAGCCACAATTCTTAAAGGGCAAAGATAGGGAGATCTCACCATTCTGACATGTTCTCATCAGAGCCCTGTTTCTGTTCATCTGCTTCACACTCCATCCTTTCTTTTCTTCCTGTTTTGCTTAGGAAAGTTCTATTTTCTGCTGATTCACACAATCCATGGCCTGATGAGGTCCAGGGAGTATTCTCCTTCCAGCGGGACAACCGCTGCTTCTTAGCAGACTTGAACCTGCAGCCTCTCTCATAGCTCCAATCTGATACTTTCAGTTTCTGCTGAAGGCTGGCAGCCACCTCTGATGTCACCCGCTTTACCTTCCGCCGGCGCCTGAGAGGTCGACAAGGTGCGTTTTCAGTAAAGGAATCAGATTCGTGCCAAGAATGTTGCTTACTCTTAACAATGGCATTGAGAGCTGGGTGTCGTTTGGCTACCATTGTGTCATCAGAGTCACTGAAATTGGTGACTGGAGCCACTTCTCGGCAGTCCTTAATGGTCTCATCCAGACTTGACTCAGAGGCCTCACTGTAGCAGCAGGTATGCTCTGCCAGGTGTGTGAAGTCAGATCTGCGCTTCCGGCCACGGCGTTTGCGAAGCTGCCGCCTCTGCTGCCGAGGGCTCAGGGCCATCTCCTCCCACAGCTCACCAAGCTTATTCTGCTCAGATGTCTGCTCCAAGGCTGAGGCTAAGTCATGTACCAGCTCATCCATGAGGCCACATCTGCCAAAAAAAACCAAGTTCAAAAATAAAAAAATAGAAAACAAGAAAGAAAGCTTGAATAGGATCTGTTGTTTTTCTTGGCACTGCAGGGTCCTGCCTGTCTATGGAAAATAAAGACAACTTTAATTTGACTACATTTAATACTCTGTTCCTACCATCCATATTCCCTTAAGCCACTAAAAATAGGTGTTTGGTCCTTATTAAAATAATGCCTCAAGTCAAAATGTCCTTAAGTACAAAACCTCAACAATTGGAATTTGAGCAAAAACAAAAACAAACAAACTCAGGGAAATACATCTTCCCCTTTTCCCCTTTTCTTGACTTAAAATTGTTAAATTACCTAATGATGAGATTCAAAAAGATTAGAAAATGACTCATCAGATAGGGACAGAAAATCACAACTTCAAAACCACAGAACTGGGAGAACACAGGGTGGGATCCAGTCACACTACGGTATTGAGCCATCCTAGACCACAGTGCTCTGAGAATGCACATGGCAGGGAACTGAAAGAGAAGAGTGACACGCTTGGAGGAAGACTGCTTGCAGTACTGGTGATCCAAGAATCTGTACTGACCCAGGTTTGTACTCGGAACAGAAAAAAGAGCCTTAGTTTGGTATCTTCCTGGTACCTACCATCATTTAAAAGCTACTAGGTATAGAACCTTACACAGCCTGTCCTTTTTGAATAATTAGCAACTTTTAGACTTTCCTCATCCTGATCAACTTAATTATGTGCCATAGTGCCCAACAATCACACAATAGGATGTAACTGAAACTGAGCGGGGAAGGGTGGGGGCGGGGGGCAGGGTGGAGAAATGACCCAAACAATGTATGAACACGTGAATAAATGAACAAAAAATTAATTAATTAATTTAATTAAATAAAAAAGAAACTGAGATGACAGGAATGGAATGTAGTCGCTAAGATTTCTGGTTAATTGCTTTCCAAAATTTTCTATTCATTTCTACAAAATGTTTCTACTTGTTCTCTTCAAACCATCACATTTCAGAGGTAAGCCTTTCAAGGAATGACAATAGTGGAGGCAACTTTCAAAATTTTCTTTTAAAGGGAAATGTGTAATATATTAATCTGACTGACACCTAATGAAATGCCTGTTAAATTAGCACTTTCTCTATAGCCCTTGTTAATCCCAAAAGGATTTCAAGACCATAATTAGAATTTAGAGTGCTGTGTGGCAACACTCACAGACCATACTTCCATTTGTGCAGTTTACATTTTACAAAAGGGCTTTCTAAAACCTATCCTCACACTCGACCTATGTCAACAAATTCACAGGCAGCGGAGTCTTCTGACTTATGTGTCACATCTGTGGGAGCAATGGAACACCTAGTTCTAAAACTACTACCCAAGCAAAACTACTCAGTGTCAAGAGCCACACACATAATAAGACCACATTCCTTTAAGCAATTAGAATAGTTTATGCCAGGCCTCAGGGGCTCACGACTGTAATCCTAGCTATTTGGGAGGATGACATCAGGAGGATCAAGGTTCAAGACCAGCCCTCACAAACAGTTTTTGAAACCCCATCTCCAGGAAAAAAAAAAAAAATGGACTGGAGGTGTGTGGCTCAAGTGGTAGAGCACCTGCTTTGCAAGTATGAAGACCTGAGTTCAAACACCAGTCCCACCAAAAAAATTAGAAACATCATGATTGGCATTTGGAAGACAACTGTCCCTATGACCAAAATAAATAAACAAGTGTGAACAACATGTCTAAATCTCATTCCCTAATAAGGAGCTACTGCTTAAAAATTCAGGTAGAGTGAGGAACTGGGTGGCTGCAGCATGTAACCCTACCTACTTGGGAGGCTTGAGATCAGCAGGATGGAAGTGTGAGGCTGGCTCAGAGCCAATAGTTCAGGAGACCCCCGCCCCCATCTCTGGATGGTGTGGCTCAAGAGGTAGAGCACCGGCTTTGCACGTGCGAAGCCCTGAGTTCAAACCTCAGTCCTACAAAAAAAAAAAAAATCAAGCAGAACTGCACAAACTTTAAACGTGGAAGGAAGTTACCAATGGTATAGTCGAAAGCTTATGCAGAATCCTTTCTTGTTTCAAAGAATGCAATTCCAACGGAGGTGACAGGAGAACCCTGGATCTCCCCACCTCCAGTCTGGCTCGGGTGCACACCGCGAGAGGACCCCGGATCCAGGCAGGCCCGGGGAGAGGTAAGGCTGTGAGGAAGCTGGTGGACAGCAAGTAAGAAAGCCAGTCGCAGGGTAGGAGGGGTGGGAGGTGGGGCGGCAGAAGGCAACTTCTGGTTTGAGCTAACCCAGGGCAGGAGGTCAGCCCTGCTAGGTCAGAAACTGCCTAAAATCAAGTCCTGGCAACTGGGGCTCCCTCTGCGATCCAGGGTCGCAACAGGGCCACAATTGTGAGAAAAGCCGTCTTCCGAAAGACTCCAGCTGTCCCGGCCCATCCCCGAGGACTAGGGTGACCACAGCTCGGGACACTTAAGCACTCACGTAGTCACAGGCCAAAAGGAGACAGAAAGGAGGGGAATGTCGCCCAAGAGACGCCCCGACCCTCATGATCCGGGATGGGGGAGATGGGCCTTGAAGCAAGGCCCCGCCACCCACGCTCCTCCCGCCGGCTTCCGCGGCCTCGTGGTGCCCATAGCCGGCCAGCCGCAGCCCAGAGCCCCGATCCCCTCTGGCGCTGGCCTTAGACCCCTGCCCTCTCAACCCACTCCAGCCCCTCACCGGCTGCCGCAGCCACCTCCGACGGGCGCCGCTTTTTGGGCCGAGTCTCCCCGCCGGGGTTTCCCTCTCTGACCTCATTTCCGGTCTGGGGCGGAGGAGTGGGAGGCAGTGGAGTGGGAGGAGCTGACTGCGCAGGGGACCGCCCCAACCCAGTGTTTCCGCCCCGCGGCGAGCCTACTTCCGCCCCACTGTGGGCGGAGCCCTGGGGAAGCTGGAGATGGAGCCCGAAGAAAGGAAGAGCTGAGAGTAGGGGCGGGGCAAAGGCTTGTCAGGACTCAGGTGTCCATCTATGAGGACCTCCCTTCCGGTGTCTAAAAGCTGGTCGCTGAGGATTTGTGATGTTGAGGAGAAAGGGATCTCCACTTCATAACCATAAGAATTGACACAATCTTTGGGAAGGGGTAATTTTGCAATAAGTTACTCAGAGCATTAAAAATATGCATGCACATGCCTGGCCCGGTGGCTCTCACCTGTAATCCTAGCTACTCAGAAGGCAAAGATCAGGAGGATCACAGTTCAAAGCCAGCTCGGGAAAATTGTTTGCAAGACCCTATCTTGGAAAAACCCATCACAAAAAAGAGGTGGTAGAGTGGCTCAAGGTGTAGGCCCTGAGTTCAAACCCCAGTACCACAAAAAAAAAAAAAATGCCCTGAGGAATAAAACAAATAAAGTAATATTGGATTATAACTCAAAGTATAAAAGAAATATTCATGAGCCAATACTGATATGAATGGAAAAGTTAATAAGTGGGGAAGAAGAGATAAATCTCCCACGGAAGAATCCCAAGTAATTTATGTCTATTGTCCAACTAGAAGCATAACTCTCATTTCCTTAACTATGAGCTGTGCATAGTGACTTCCTTAGAGAATACAGTATGGAAAGAGGGGAAAATGAGTAACTACAGTGGAGAAACCAGGCAAACACTATGTCAGCCAAGTGATCAAGGTTGACATCAACAGTGATAAATCATGTTGATAGTATGTGAACTTGATATATGATGAGAATGGTACTTTAATGGTACTTTCCTTCCAAAACCCATAACCTCAACCTAATCACATGGAAAAAAAAAAACAAACTTTTTTTTTTTAAATCAGACAAGCCTGGATTGAGGAACAGCCTACAAAATGCTTGACTGATATTTCTCAAAATTGTTAAGATCATCAAAAACAAGGAAGTCTAAGAAACTGTCACACCTACAAGAGCCTAAGAAGTCATGGCAACAAAACGTAATATGATAGAATGGGTGGAAGACAGAAATAGAAAAACACTCCTAAGGAAAAAACTAAATCTGGATAATGAGTGGACTTTAGTTCATAATAATGTATTACAAATTGGTTAAGACAAATGTGCTATGTTAATGTAAGATGTTAATAAGGGAAAGTAGGTGAGTTATATAGAAACTGTAGACTCTTCATGATTTTTCTGTAAACCTAAAACTATTCTAAAATAAAAAGGTTGACTGGGTGCCAGTGACTTACACCTGTAATTCTAGTTACTCAGGAGGCAGAAATCAGGAAGATCATGGTTCCAAGCCAGCCAGGGCAAACAGTTTGAGGACCCTATCTCAAAAACACCCAATACACACACAAAAATGACTGGTGGAGTGGCTCAAGTGGTAGAGTGCCTGCCTAGCAAGACTGAGGCCCTGAGTTCAAACCCCAGTACCACTCAATAAAAATAAAAAGGTTTTTTTAAAAAAAATGCATATGGCATTTGGCTCAGATTTCTTCTAAGAATTTTATTCTAAGGGAAAATTGAAAATGGGCACAAGCCCATTTCAAAGCATCGCCTAGCCTGCTGAAAAGACACCATAAGTAAAGCACACCCTCCAGAGCTAAAAACAAATTTATGGACAAGAAGTTGTCACTGAAATTAAATGGTGGCAGACATGTCCAAGAAATATTGCCGGGATTTGATCCCTTTATGAACCTTGTGATAGATGAAATGTGTGGGGATGGCAACTAGTGGGCAATAGAACAATACTGGAGTGGTAGTAATAAAAGAAAATAGTATCATCATGTTAGAAGCTTTAGAACAAGTTTAAATAATGACAGTTCAGCAGAGAAATCCATGTCTGCTCTCCAAAGGGCCTGTTTTACTATGAAGTAAAAATTGGGTCATGTACATTTTATTATCCTTTTGTTAAATAAACTTTTGTAATAGTAAAAAAAAGAAAAAAAGAAAGAAAGAAAATGGGCACAAAAATGTTAAGTACAGGTAAATTCATCTCTACAGCATTATCTCCTAACTAGAAAAAGCCAGAAGTGCTAGAATAGGGGTTAACTAAATTTGTCTATTGGCTAAAATAACTCACAGCCTTTTAAAATTGATGTTGTGGAAGAATGTTTAATGACATGAAAAGTTATTGATTTATGATTGTATATATTTCTGTATGATTGTTACATTTCAGTATGAAGATTAGCCTAAAATGTAGAGTTTGGCTCTATTCATACACAAAAGAAATTAAAACTGTGCTTGCATGAGAATATGACCAGAATGATACACTGTACAATATTCAAAGTTAAGTGCCTATGTCTCCAATCTATTGTTTTTATGGATTTCCAGAGTTTTCTGTAAGTGAAACTTATTGTGTTAAGAGTTAAAGGAGGAGACAAAAATAACTGAGGGTTTGCGCCAGAGTGACAGACTTATCAGTGTCATCTGCAGAGCAAGAGAAGTCAAGAAGAAAAACGGGTTTGACAGGAAGATGATTAATTCTATTTTGGACATTCTCAATTTGTGACTTCCACAGGACAAAAACATGGAACTATACAACAGGTGTCCACAGCCATCAGTCCTCTGCTCTGCTTCAAGGAAAATTCTGTCCTATGAGTCACATCACTTCCATAGCACCAGTTTCTCCACTGGCACTGAAAGTTCCCAGATTTATCATCTGCTTCTGCTGTCTCCACTTATATATTCCACAAGCATCTACAGTTTAAGACCTCAAAATAAAGCTTTGTTTCTTCCATTGTCCCTATCAAATTTGCCTCTTCTCCACTCTTCCCTGTTCAGGAAACATTACCACCAACATAGAGTTGCCCAGGCAAGTTACTTCAAAACCACTTCAAGTTCCTGCTTCTTCCTTCTTCTTCCTATACCCCATTCTTTAGGTGACTGCTAAGCTTCATGGATTCCACTCCCACAGTATCCTTGCACCCATCGTCATCCTTTTGTTTTTGCTCTGCCATTGGCCTCATCTGGGCAGACAACCACCCTTGCAGATGGTGCAAAAGTCATCTTACTGGTCCTTCCCATTTGCATTTGCTCACCAGAAAAGTTATTTTTTACATTGGACTTCCTAAAACACAGTTTGGATTATGTCACTTCATACACTGTTCACTACCTCCTGCCTTACCCCTGAGCACACCATACCACTTGCTGTTTCTTGAACAATATTAGAAATAAATTCGGTGGTGGTCCATTTTCAAGGCAAAGCATTTATTTAACCATGAATGGAAAATTTCTGGTAGATTACTTGCATGCACCTGGAAATGAGGCAGGATAGATAGATGAGGAGACAGGGAAATTATATTTTAATCAATATTTAAAGGGCCAAACTCTGACACTGGAACAAGGAGAGCCAGAAAAGCTGGCTCCCTCCCATCTTTTAGATGCTAAATTATAAAAACTGGGAGACAAAGAGGAGCTACCTGCTTCTGATTTCCTCTATGAGATGTTAAAAACCTGCTAGAATCCTTGGATGGATGGAGAAATAATCAAGTCTAGGAAAAGGAAGTTTTAAAGCATCCTATTCTCTGATTTAGGGTGTAAAATTTGGGAGGGTGACTCCTCCCCATCAGCCATCTCAGTCACCTGGACCCATTATCCTTGACCACTGTATTCCCCCAGCTCTCCACTATAAAACTAAGAGTTGGGGACCACCATTTTGAGTCTTTGCTCCCATTTACTGTGTGGGGAACAGGAAATGTTTCTCTCCCCACCCCCCTTGTCTATGCTTTATCCCATTATACTAAAATAAATCCTTGCCAAAACTTTCACCTTGTGAGACACCTTGAAATGCTTTTCAATGTTTGTGGATCTCAAGGACCTGAGATTTTGTGTGGAAACTAGGAAGTTGTGGGAACCTCCTCATCCATCCTCCGGTTACATAAAGTCACAAACAAGATATTGGGGAGGGGTCATGAGGAAATAGGTAAAAACTATGTACTTGTCAGAAAGTAAGTTATCACAGGAAGGCCTTCTCACCACAAAGAGACAAAGGGAGGCGGAGACTTAAGTCCACATCTAAAATTGTACCAATCCCAAGAGAGACATATTTTAAAATAACTCAATAGGAAATAATAAAGCTTAAGGCGACATGGGTGGGGAGTAGATTGTCCACCCTATAGTCCTCAGCCAATGAAGAACCAGGGAAGGGACCTACCTGCGCACTAGTGATAAAATGCCTATTGTGACCGCTGTGGGTGTACCTGGCTCACCAGACACCCAGTCTTGCAAGACTGTCATTAAAGTCTCACTTTTGCTGGACTTCACCCGTCTCTGAGTTCATTCTTTGAGTTTGGACAAGCGAGCACATTTCTCACAAACACTTTGGGGCTCCATGCCAATGTCACCTCCATGAAGCCTTCGCTTTGCTTGCCCACTCCTTTGGCTTTCTCTCTGCACTTGCCAGAAACTTTATTACACTCTTTCTTCATTCAACCTTGAATCAGAGGCAATAATGTGCAAGTTTTCCTCCCAACTAAGTCAGTCATCCAACAAATGCTGAGCACCTGCCGCATCCCCTGGACCTGTGCTACGCTCTGAAGAGACAATGTATACATAAAACAAAGGCTCCTCCAGGGCCCCAGAGGCCTGGTACAGCGCTTTGCACATGGCAGCTGTGCAATGGATTAAAAGAAAAAAACGCTTGTTTACTAAGTCTTGGATCAGAAACTTAAAGACACTTGTCTCAATGCTAAGAGAAAA